AGCAGATGCCCCCGACATTCGGTAAGTGAATGTGTTTAATTGTAGGCAGGGACATTAGTGGATATTCTTGTGTAATTGCTACAGAATAATTTATGTTATACTTTGTTATTGCTACAGAAGAATATTTATTTTATTATTTTACATTTACAATTTTTTTTTTCCTGGGGACCCAGTGACACCCCATTGAGGAGCCGTAGGCTGGATCTCTTAAGATGTCACTGTTGGGTTAGTAAGGCCATGTTACTCCTAAATTTCTACCTTGTTCAAAGAGAAGATATAAAACAAAGTTCTAAGCTAATCGACCTTAGTGTTCTCCTTTTTTTTAAAAAAGAATTGATAAAGAATCGAATTGTTAAACAGAATCGAAAATGGAATCGGAATCATGAAAATCTTATCAATACCCATCCCTAGCAGTAATGATACTTGTAACAAATCTAGCATATATGCAGCTCTGGAGGCCAGGATTACTGAATTGGAGACTCGACTTCACACCCTTGATTCACCCATTGCTAGCCCCTATCCGGTCTTTATGTCTGACGTCACTAACCCTGTCTGGGCTCAAACTCTGCTGCAGGTCCATAAATCAAACGATCACTGTGGCATCACTGAGAGTTGAAAAACGGTCTAAAGTCTTTCATCTGTAATAAAATGATCAGCATTCTGCTCTACCAGGTGTAACGATTAAGTTTAACATCCAGGCATCCATGAAAACAGATTTATGACAAATTTATGACAGTTAACGGAGTTAGAAATTAGCAGGAAGTTAGCTCACTAGCTTCCATCTAAATACAATATAGCATGTCCTGACTGAGGGATTTTGGAAACAAATTCAAACGTACAGCTCTGCTATCACTTCCGACTTAAATGATCATAAATAAATCATATCTATCTAATAGACTCCAACTTGTTCATGTACAGTAGATGGAGAGTCCTCTTCACACACTGAGGTTAATTATGGAGTTCCACATGCTTCCTTGTGGCAGTATCATTAGAAGGCATAGTATACATTTTCACTGCTATACAGATGACACCCAGCTCTATCTATCCATGAAGCCAGATAACACACACTAATTAGTTAAACTGCAGGAATGACATAAAGGACATAAAGATCTGGATTGCTGCTAAGTTTCTTCTTCTTAATTCAGATAAAACTGAGGTTATTGTACTCGGCCCAGAAAATCTTAGAAATATGGTATCTAACCAGATTCTTACTCTGGATCAGGTAACCCTGAATCCTCCCTTAGTTATGCTGCAATAGACGTAGGCTGCTGGGGATTTCAATGATGCATTGAGTTTTTCCTTTCCAGTCACCTTTTTCAATCATTGTGTGTTAATAGACCTCTCTGCATTGAATCGTACTTGTTATTAATCTCTGTGCATTTTATCCTGTCTTCCTTCTCTCACCCCAACCGGTCGCAGCAGATGGCCGCCCCTCCCTGAGCCTGGTTCTACTGGAGGTTTCTTCCTGTTAAAAAGGAGTTTTTCCTTCCCACTGTTGCCAAAGAGCTTGCTCATATGGGGTCATTTGATTGTTGGGTTTTCTCTGTATGCATTATTGTAGGGTCTACCTGTGATTTGGCGCTATATAAATAAAATTGAATTGAATTGAATGTCTCTCTGATGTGGAGAATAGATGTCTTCAAATGTTCTGTTAGCAAGATGTTCTGTTGAAATATCATTCCAAGACACAAGTGTATCATGAGGTACATTTAAAAGCTAAAGTCTTATTTTACATTTTTAATAAAGGTGCTGTTAATGAGCAGACGTTTAATCAACATCAGCAGCAGGAAGTGTACTCCTCTCTTCCTGTTGGTTAGTTTTTCATCAATTTATCATATTCTGATGCTGTTTTCAACAAGACTGTACTTATTACATCTGCTGCGGGTTTTAAAATAAATGTTATTTTCAATAATAGTTGTGTTTAATTTAGTATTACAGACATTAGGTGACTGATTTTCTCTGACCTGCAGGTGATCATTGTGGCTATGAGATAATCAGAAGATCTGAAAACATTGAAAAGGGTAAAGTATACACTTTCATTAATACAGACCTTGTGGAAGTTGGATGATTATATAATAACCGTGTTTAACATTGAAGTCTATGCATCCAACTGTTTTCTTATGCTTGGGGGCCAGGTTGTGGGGGCAGCATCCTAAACAGAGAGGCCAAGGCCACATCCTCCAGCTTGTCTGGGGGAACACCAAGGCTTTCCCACACCAGCCGAGAGATATAATCTCTTCAGCATGTTCTGGGTCTGCCCCAGGGTCTCCTCACAGTGGGACATGCCTGAAAAACCCCATGCAGGAGGCATCCTTGTCACCCGAACAACTTTAAATGTGGTCCTCCTCTGAGCCCCTCCCACATGGGGCCAAACACCTAACCCTATCTCTAAAGGAGAGCAAGCCACCCTTTGAAGTAAGCTTATTTCCACTGCTTCTATCCACGATCTTGTTCTTTGGGGTCACTAACCCAGAGCTTGTGAACATAAGTGAGGGTAGAGATGTAGATTGACCGGTAACTTGAGACTATCATTTTGTTCGACTAACAGATGGCTTGGCCTGTATTTTGTATAGCGCTTTACTAGTCCCTGAGGACCCCAAAGCGCTTTACACATCCAGTCATCCACCCATTCACACACTGGTGATAGCCACAGCCACCCTGGGGCGCACTGACAGAG